TTTCAGGCATCACCTTCTCACTGGCAGATCATTGCTGTGACAGCCGCCAAAGTACCAACAGCTGGCATGGCACCTGGAAGCCCGGCACTCGCATCCGACGCGCCTGTGGTCGAAGTCGTAGTTGCCTTGCACATGTCCACATAAGCGTCAGAGCCTGAGAGGAGGGTTGCGGAATTGCCTGTGTCGTCACAAACAGAGTCCAAGCAGCCTCCAGCTGTAGCATCCTTCCACTTGCCCACCATGGCACAGGTGATGCCAAGTTGCGGATACAGAGACTCCACTAAGGTTTTCACCTTGCATGCTGCGTCTGCCGGGATAGAAGTTTGGTTCAAATCGAAGATTGCATCCACCATCTCGACAGTGGTCGTGTTGAAGGTGGACATGTAGCCGGATGCGGAACGCCAGTAGGCCCAACCCTCAGCAAGGTACTTTGGTTCCATGGTGCCGCCGTTGTAGGCTTTGTCAGCATACTTGATGGCGCTGCGGATTGCGGCAATTGAGAAGATCTTGTACATGCCCAACTCAGCTGCTTTCACATTGTCCCCGTTGTAAGCAGCGCCGCGGAGGTTGATCAGGCCGTAGTTCAAGATCTTCACAGCTTCTGCGTGCGTGTTGGTACCATCAGGGTAGTCGAAATCGCGCTTCCAGTTGAACTCATATGGGGAATAGAGATTTCCTGGGGCACCGCCTGTGATTCCGTCACCTACCACTGGAGCGATGTTCCCGATGTAGAAAGCAGCGCCTTCATCCCAGGCATATGCTGCCTGACCATCCGCAGTCTCACCGTTTGCACCCTTCCAAACCGCTGCACCAAATTCGTACGTAGCATAGCCGGTCACAACACCAATGAGGGCTTTGTTGATCACATACTGCCTGAAGGAGTCACTCTTGTCCTTGCACATGCCGGTGTTGTCAAGGCAGGCAATGATATAATCATGCCAAATGGCGGAAATCGAGCCGTAGAGGCTCAGCGCACCCGAGTAGAACACGTTGGTGTACTTCCCGCTTACCGTCATGTCCTTCAAGGCCAAATCTTGAAGGGTTCTCATGTTACCCGCGCCCTTTGAAGAGAAGTTGCCCATGGTGTAGACCTCCTTTGCCATGGCGTAGTTCATAGGATCCTCGGCCAAGTAGCCTGACTCATGGCTTGTTTGTAGGGCGGGATCAGAGGAAAGAAAATAGCATGGAAGCTTTACACTCTACACTAGTGGGGGGCTACAGAAGGACTACTACCGGGAGCCATACCAGCAAGTGGCTCTTGATCAACGCGACATCACGATTGATGTCTGCGTGTTCCGTGACATCGTTGACTGGACAGTAGAGACCGTCTGATAGCCTGGGTTGCTGTTAAGGAACTTAAATTAAGTTACCATGATGGGTATATATTGTAAATAATAGGGTTTCTCCAATATAGTAACTTAATTTAATAAGTTCCTTAACAGCAACCCAGTAGCTGCGGGCAGGAATCCACCGGGTCGCAGGCCGCCCCTTCAGCACCGGTAGCCGCAAGGCCCAAGAGCACGAGGCGCAGGAGTCCCATCTTTCGCGAAGGTTCACGGTTTAGGGCTTATACTGGAGTAGGCCGCTGCAAAAGCCAAGAAAAGGGCTGTAGCCATTTTGAGGGTTTAGGGTTCATGGCTTAGGGTTTCCGGCCTCAATGCCGCCTGGGCTCCATACAAACCCACCCTAGACCATATAAAAACCCCGTATTTGGCCCCAACAAATTAGAAATTAGAACGGATTTGGGCGTTCTTATACTTCAATTCCATGTTGGGGCTCATCATACAAACTATTCAAGCTTCTGCACTTCCTGAAGCCCTAGCTCCTGTTCCTTCACGCTAGAAAATCCACTTTGCAGCATGGGGGCGGCCAAAGAACCAGCCAGAGGAGTTAACTCCTGCAGCTAGATGTGATAGGGTTTAGGGATTTGCGGTCTACTGTTTCGGACTTACAGGATTTGGAAGTTCAAGGTTCGTTTCCTCTCCCCGAACTAGAACGCGGCCAGCTGAGCTGACTTCCAGGCCTATTGGGCATGGCACCATAAAAGAACAAGCTTTGGGGCCTTTGGGGTTGCGGATTTAGATTGCAGATTTAGAAGTGATAGCAACACGCTGATTACAGTATAGGGATCAGGCTAATTTGTTCCGTTCCCCAACCCTGCACGTTACAGTAACTCCTAGACCTTTTCTTTGAATCGTCACTGTGAAATCAAGGAAGGAGGGAAGTGCCCCTCCAAGGAGAACCTTGGTCTAAACTGATCATCAGTAAGGGCTTTCTTAAATGGCTTGCCCGAGGATGTGTAGCTAAACCCGAAGCCCTAAACCGCGTCTCCCTTCCGGACGATATACACATTGTACACATTATATCAAGAGGACTCCATCCCACCCGGCTCAGAACACTAGGCTTTAGAGTTTAGGGTTTATGGCGCCATGTTGCAGAACAGGGCATATGATGAAGCCATTGAGGAGTACTGTCCCTCTGGAAGTTGCGATGATAGGCACGTCTTTGCTGCTCCAGTCGGGTTGGATTTCGTTCTTGTGAAAAATACTACATCCAAAAGGAGGCTAGACGAGAAGATCGCCCGCACTTAAGACACTCCTTGCATCTTGGCCGAGCTTAGCCATTGTGTTTTGCCATATGTCTCTGGCTCAGGTGCCTACCCTGGCCTTCTCATAGAACACCAAAATACAAACACCAAAGCCAAGAACTACCACGATAAGGCACAATGTTATGTGGGGCTTGGCTGTAGTTACCGTTCCTCGAATTGCCCAAATCATATGGGGACCTGCGTTCTGATAGGAACCCCACAAGAGGGACTCGTCTTGTACTCAGCTTCTTTAAGGAATTCCCATGTAATCCAGAGGATGGAGACATGTTATGATGAGTCCAGGACGACGTAAGCATACCTAAGCTATCCTGGAAGGGTTACCAAGAAACTGGGTTGTTTTTTTGGAGCTTAAGTTAAGTTCTCACAATATGCGCATTACAGTAGCTTAACGTTCCTCAGCAGCAAGCCAGAAAATCCTGGAACATCCCTCCTTCTGAATAAACAACCTACTTCCTGGACGGTCTACAAGTATCCACAATTAATACACTTAACCCGAAACCGTTTAATTGGGACTTCTCCAACTCGGGGAGTTACCTTATAGTTGTGAATGTGCTACCATGAACACTCATTTCTTGCAAATTCCAATGCACATGTGTCTAGAACCGATTGGAATCTAATCAGTAATGCAACCAGAGAACTATTCCAATATTCCCCTCCCCAATAGTAGACTTCCCCACCCTCCCAAATTAAAGATTACACATGAAAATATAGTGGGGGGGATGATTACGGGTAATTATTGGGTGGAATTATGGGGAGGGGGGGTTAACATAGAGCGAGGACTGGTCAGATTCAAGTGGGGCTTTGTCAATTCCTAGACTGCCTTTACTTCCATCTGAAGCAGGGCGCACTTAATCAAACAGCTCTCATCTCGGCAAAGATAGGGTTTAGAGTCCATTCTTGAAGATGAATTAGCTTTTGGTGTTGCACTTGCTGTAGAACTTGATAGATCGCCCTTTCCTGCAGCGGCTGTGGTCGCCCATGCAATTGGTTAGCGCTTAGATCAGGGACCTGGAAGTATTAAAGCGGGCAAAACGGTAGTTTCCCTCAATAAGGTGCTCCGATACAGACCCAAAATACCATAATTCTTGTTACGGGGACCCCAAAAAAGTAGCCCTAATTTTGGGAAACCCTGGATCCTAAACCCTTAACCCTAAACAGTAGCTTCCGTTTTCTCTATCTCCATTACTCCTAGTTCTAGTGAGTGGTAGTATATAACCCCTATAGAACCCCCTTAAAGGGTACCTTATGGGGACCCCCAAAATGGCTCAGATAAGAAGCCACATTTTGCCTGGGTCGCGTAGTGTGATAGACCGGGCTTCTAACTGGAATATGGGTGTTTCCCAGAAGTAGGGGTCTCTTAGGGGCTCACCTAGAGTTCCTAGAATAAGGACTACAGTATTGTTCGGTCCATGTTGGGGCTTCTTTTATCTGGGAAACTACCATAGGGGGCCCGACTTAGCGTTGCGCAGGGGTCACTTGGGAAGCCCGCCTTTGAAAAAAAGAGAGATTGCCTTAAGTGAGGACCTTGCATAATGTTTAAATATCTGGTCCTGAACCCCAAATTTACGAACCCCAAAGCCCTGCACCCTAACACAACTTTGCATTTTAGATTTCGCCTCACACATCCCGTAAAGGGACCTGGGGGTCTATGCTGAAATCACGATTTGAAAGCCTTGTAAGGTAGGAGTTGCATGCAGTCCCACTTAGCGACCCAATATACAGACTCAGCAGGCTTTCCATCAGGGGCCCTGTATACAGTCACCAAGGCCCAAATACAAACTCTCCATTATGTACCAGGCTGACCTGGAACCTAACCCTCGACCGCAGACCATCAACACCCAACCAAAAACCCTGAAGCCGAACAGTCCTGTGCCCGCACTACGCTCTGGATCGTTTCGGTAGAAATACCTGCAAATCCAAACATCCATCTGAGGCTTGAGGGGCGTTCAGGGCTTACCTCACTTTTGAGTATCTGAAGAGTCAGGTTGTTGATTTGAGGATGTCCTTGTTTATTTGGATTTAGCGAGTCTTGCTTCACGGGAACATCCATCGTAAAAGAGATGGACTGATGGAAAACCGAGACCATGACGCAACTGGGTTGCAGTTGAGGAACTTAGTTACCAGAATATGGTATGTAAGTAAATAATAGGTGTCCTCGTTATAGTAACTTAATGTAAACTCCTTAACAGCAACCCAGGTAATGTATCGAAGTGTAGGCATGGCTCATGCGCTTCCAAAGCCTGCAAAGCAAGCCAATATCTCCGTGAGTTAATAGTACTTCACGCAACTAGTGGATCCCAATACGAGGCGGGATCGCCAATGATGCAGAACTGAAGCGCGAACAAAAACAATCCGAAGCGCATGGAATCATTGCCGAAGGCCTTCAGCCAACTTGATTGATGCTAGGCTTCAAAAACGTTAAGCCCTCAACCCTAAACCATCAACCTTCGGGAGTTCTATCTACTTAAGGGGCATCGGGTTAAGGGGTTTGCCTCTAAGGGTCCTCCAGCACTCGAATCGTAGATAGTTTGGGCCCAAATGGGTTCCTGTATAGGCACTTTGGGCCCTAACTACATGCTATTTAAGTATTTGGACCCTTAAGAAGACTTTGTGCATGCCCATTCCCCGCCGTTGAAAATTCGAAGACGGAAGTATTTACTATTGGGGCTTGCTTGTTGAGGCCTTTGTTTGGGGTAGGGCTAGAGGCTTGTTCTCTGACCTTTTTGGGCACCTCGAGGGGGTAGGGCAGCCACTTTGTGTTAGCTCTCGGGTTGAGGGAAATCAGAAGGAAGGTGCAGGATTGACATGGGGCCATGGGGATACCCAAAGCCATATTCCATCTACATAAAGAGGACAGTAAGGGGACTATAGACCCTTTTTGTACTTGGACCCTTAGGGACTGGCCAGCAAAGGAACCAGTGCGAGACACACATGGCTGTGATAGCAATGCACAGCGCCACGTGGAAGTGATAGACGAACAGGAACCTTGCCAGAAAACCTATTTAGGGATTAGGGTTCAAGGCGTAGGGTCTAGGCTCTGTTAACCTGTTGACTGAATAGCCCAATACAGCACCTGTGTCCCCTTTAAAGCCCGTGATATACTTCCGTATAAAAAAGAATCCGCACAAAGGAAAACGCCGGCCTGTATCCTGAAGTGTGCTGTAGAGCTCAAACTTCACGATGTTAAAAGTCTACGGTCCAAGGCTCCAAGGGCGGTTTCCCCCAATCCCCACTGCTGGTCTATGCTTCCTTGAACGAGGCAGGTGACGTTTACGATCCCCGAGTTCAGGCCAAGCTGTAGAGGACTTGCAGTATCAATTGAAAACACAGTTGCGGTTTAAGGCCCGTCGGCATGAAGCAAAGCAAATGGTTGACGGAAAGGTGGTGGGTTGGAGGTGGGGTGCAGCTGATGCTGTCAAACGCTAACAAGAAGGCTATTGTATGGCTGACAGGCGCAAGACTAACAAAGCATCACCACTTGCGCGCACACAACCTAAGCAACCACGGATCATCCTCCAAAATCGTCTAGGAGCGGGGAAGCTATGCCATCAGACCTAAAGACAGACCTCAAAACCACAATTTTGTTGGACATATCTGAACCTACAACCCAGAACCCTACTTAGAAACGCTTGAACCCCGGTGCCAAGACACACAAAAAGGTTGAAGATCAAGGCTGTCCTTGCTTGGGGAGATGAGCCAGAAGGGTTTCCTTACTCACTGTTTGTGGGCGATACACACAAACCATGGGCTACATACCTTAAGGTATGCGTGTAGATGTTTATAGGTGCATAGCATACATGTAAACACTTGTGGACATATCTATCTATCTATCTGTCTGTCTGTCGGTCGGTCGGTCGGTCGGTCGGTCTATCTGTCTGTCTGTCTGTCTGTCTCTGTCTGTCTGTCTGTCTGTCTGTCTGTCTGTCCGTGTG